CACCTTTAGATTACACTTATTGTTGATAATTGCAGATTTGTTAGTAAAAATGTTAACACTATGAGAAGCGGTGATTTGAAAGTATTTTTGAGTTGTTTTAACTTTTCCTTCCCATGCACAATGTTATCGATCACATGAAAATAATATCCCTTGTGCTTATGGTATTTATAGACTTCCTCGACTCACGTATGCTCCCCGCCGTTTTGACGATTTCTTCTTGCGTGGTACTTCCTGTCAAGGTGACTGTTTTTTCGCGAGGACTTGCCTTTGGCGATTTTTTTAAGGTTTTTTTAAGGATGTTTGCTTGATTAAAATGAGATCTCGCATATACTCTTCACTGATTTTTTCCTCACTCGTATGCAAAGCGCTGCTTCGCCAGCCACTTAAGCACCCTTGTATGCTTCTTTACACACGACTCATCGTTAGACAATCTCTTAACGAAATGCCATTTTACTCAGTTTTGTTAAGTAATGATAACAACTGTTTTTTTGTCTCCGAAATAAGGAAAAAGAATGGTCATGATTGGATAGATCATCTAGTAAATCTGATAGCACTATGAGAAGCGATGTCTGTCAAATAGTTTTTCAAATATTTTGAGTTTCTGAAAATAATTAGTACATAAGATTTAGCCACTCCCTCCGACTAACAGTGTTATCGACCATCTGAAAATGATATCCTTGGTGATCATCACTGTTTTCTTTGCTACCTATCAGAGATGTTGTCTGCTTAGTAATTTTTTTCTTTCGCATATCTTCTGTTCTTCAATAAATCACGAAAAATTTCTCTTAGTAATAATTTCACTTGGCAATTGCTTCCTGCGTGGCATATAAATCGCTCCCCCCATTGCTACTCATCAAAGATGTTGTGTGCTCAGTAGCTTTGGACCCTTCGTATATTTTATGTTCTTCAATGAATCACGAAACTCTCCGAATACGCAAATGCTTATGATTCTCCGCAACCAATGGGATTTGTGGTGCTGAAGGGTATATAAATTTTCCAGAGGCAATCTTAGTAGGTACTAAAGCAAAAAAGTCTTATAGGTAATACAGGGTTAATCTTTATAACAAGGCAATGATACTAAAAAACAAACTATGACTGGACGTTAATCAGTAATACGAATAGATTTTGTAACACCACATGAAACGACATTAGGTAAAAAAGTTGGGGTCACTACAAGTGTGTCCTATGCACACATTAATCGCGATTTCCTGCTCGTCTTGTATAAAGATATCCCACTTGGTAAATATACAATTAATCACGCCTTCCGGCTCGTCTTATATAAAGACTAATAATATTACAGCCGACTTATGCTTAAGATTGACCATTCAAACGTCCACTCTCAACATTTCTGATTATCTATACACTTTGTCGCACCTTAATTCATAAATATTAGCACTACCATGTTTCCCCCCCCCCTCTGTCTGCACCCGTTGCCTTACCTTATATTCAAAACTGCTGATTGACGAATGACTAGGACTGCTACGGACATCCGAAAAACAGAATCACAGGCGGATTTTTTCCATATGAAACCAATGGCATAAAAAATGTAGTATAAATTAAACATACAATAAGGTAAGGATAATACGCCGCGATCTACTATGTATTAGCAATGTCATGCGTACGCTTGATCTTAGGTGATGTCATATAAAATACGCATATAGCATCGTTAATATGATGAATTTATCCTTGACCTTTTACCCGGATCATATACCGGATGGTTACAATAATACGCTAAATAAGTTTTCTCAAAACGATAGATAAGGACCCCCTGCTGAATGACGTTTATGGTCAATCCTCCCACACCACGTTACTCTTCTTCCCCACATTAAAACCCAGATCTCCCCTCCACCCCCATGTCTTCCCCAAAACCATCGTCCCGACCAAGCCCCGCTCCCTAGCATTTCGCCCTCGGACCTAGAAACGACCTCTTCTGCCATATATCACTACGGATATAAAAAAAAAAAAAAAAAAAAAAAATCAAAAAATAATATTAAAAAAAAAACAATGAAAAGTGTAAAAATTAAAAGATGCAATCACCCTAGACTTATTATACCTACTGTAACCTATGGATAATACTCCTCGTTTTAAGTAATAACCAGGGTTTTATAATTCCGTTCGCTGTGCCCTTGCACATGAGGTAATGAACGATGCATGCGCATCCTCGATTTTTTAAGAACAATTACCATAAAGCCGCCTGAAACTAACCTATGTAAAAAATAAGGTAAAAATAAAATAAAAAATAAAATAAAAGAAAATAAAATAATAAATAAAAAATAAAAAATAAAAAATAAAAAATAAAAAATAAAAATAAATAAATAAATAAATAATAATTAAAAAATTAAAAAATCCAAACTTATATAATTCCCAAAACTAAACACAATAATAGATACTGATTAAATGACGTCCTTTTTTTATGCATCACGACGCGAGAACTTGCTATTATATTTTATGCACGCACACAGACATATACATGTACGTATAAAATCGACCACAACAGTTCAACCCAAAAAAACAAATGACCAACTTAGATTGAAAGCACACACTCACATACGATATTCATTCTGTCCCCCGCAAACCCCACCCCCCCCAAAAAATCTTGCGCAAAAAAGTTACACAAAAGTATTCTTCTGTCAACAACCAGATCCGATTATCATGCGAACTTAAAACTCATAAACCTCCTAGACCCAATCACTCCAATATTAGGTGTCAAGGCACCAGTAAACCGTTGAAAATACGACCGTTTTGCGCATTTCGAGCCACACCGGGTAATGAGTAATACCTCGTCACAAGACTATGAGCTCCGAAAGCCTAACGATGTACTTAAAACCACCCCTTTCATCCCCATAGCAACAAAACCTTCAATCCCGTTGGCACTCTGAAGCATAGATCGCAAACACTGGCAAGATCCAAAACAACGCGTCCGATGATCAAAATGCACAATTGTTACCAACACTACCAGTCATAACCATCCCCCATGCGTAACAGTCCACGCATACCCCGCCGCTCCTGCAAAGGTGCTTGGAGAACTGTTTCCCACTCAACAAAATCCACCTACTTGTCCCCATGCTCCTGTAGCAAGTCACTTGTTACCAACTCTACCATCTTCTCGACCACATCAACACCACTACTTGGGGCCGCATTAGGAACATCTCCAGAAACCTCGGTCACAAAAACGGTAACCTCGCACAATAAGTCTTCCCAGTACCCCAACCCTACGCACAACTCAAGTGCCAACACCCCGTTTGCCATTACCCGATAGTGGCGAATAGACGAATCCGCAACCCGATTGCTATACCTAAAATCCAACCCCTTCCCATCACCGCGACGATGACGCAGCTCATGAACCACTATCACCCAACCACACACTTCCCCGACACAAGTAGTTACAATATCCATGACTCTTTGCACACCAATCCTGCAAAGATACGTGCCACAAACCCCCCCCCCACCAAAAAAAAACCCCGCTGGTCCTCGCACCCACCTCGCCAAATACAAACCAGGATACACGTGAGTACACGCACCAAAAAGCAATCCCGCCCAGAACTAAGATACCAACTCTCTCCCTACGACTTCCCTGCTAACAGCCGGTAACATAAGGATTACAAGACAACCAAGTTTTTCAGACTTATGGCAATCTGTACAACCATCCCCACCGCCCCCCCCCAAAATGCGTAACGTCACACACTCCCCTCTTATTGATACTATCACATCCCTCACAGCTATGATCATCACACCGGCAAAGAAGCCTGAAGCCGCGACAGCCTGAACTAAAACGCCAGCAACGATCCACATAATCTCCAACCCAAGAACACAGCTATTTATAGCGGCTCACACCTAATAAAAAGAGCAACAATTTTTTTTTCGCCCCCCCCAAAAAAACAACTAAAAGTAAATGCGGCTACTCCATAGCACAGCAATTAACAAAAAAAGGTACCCCTCCGCCGCTAAGTAATTAATAGCTAGCCGTACCCGCCGCCCACCCGATCACTTCCTAGGACACCATCGCCCCAAAATAATAACACTATTGAAACAAAACATAATACCATATGAGACTTAGCAAGCCTGGTAAAAAAACCGGTCAGTACTCCTTCCCTAGAAACTTAACGAAGCAATCTACGACCAAATATTACCGATAATACTTGTTGCTATGAACCACTTACCCCCCTAAAAACTTTCTTCTGATCATATAATAATAAATAAAAAAAATACAAGCAAGGTTAGTATACTGTTGAATAGTCTTCCGATAAGTACAATCCATGCCACAACCATTTGACCTACACGAACCCCTGGAACTTTACTCAATGAATGCCATAAATTTTAAATAATTACCGTGACGTAGCACTCCGCAGTTGTACCCTGCAAGAAAGTAACCCCCCAACTACATTCTTAATCGAAGTAAGCCCACACCACTTACCCTTAGTAATAACCCATCACTTCCTTAGATATCATTCCCATAAAATAAAAATGTTAAATAAAATCATGGTAAAAAAAAAAATATATAAAAAAAATAAAAATAAAAAATAAAAAATAAAAAATAAAAAATAAAAAATAAAAAATAAAAATAAAAATATAAAAAAATAAACAATATAAAATAAAATAAAATAAAATAAAAAATATAAAATAAAATATATAAAAAATAAAAAATAAACCAAATAAATAAAATAGAAAATTTAATTTAAAAAAAAAAGAAAAAAAAAAAAAGATAAAAAGTAAATAAATACTCCTGGGATCACACAATAAGCAACCAAGCAAGAACTCTCTGCCCTGACAACAAAGTACCCTAGATAAATTCCCTGATATGCTGTAGCTACGCACCAATACTACTACCTTGAACTATGCATGATAGTACAACAAAAAATAAAAAATAAAATAAAAAATAAAAAAATAAAAAATAAAAAATAAAGATTAAATCTACAAGCTATACAGGTAAGCTACTCATATAACGACTCTGTGACTAACTAAACACCTCTGAATATGCCCGGACCGAGACCCGGGAACATTAGAGACGATACCACAGAACACCCCAGCACCATTGCACAACAAGAAACACAGGAAGATTGCTAACCCCATTATCTGATTCGTTTGTGCAGGATCAAGACAGTATCCAAATGGGATGGCATCCAGAACTGGTCACATTTTTAGACTGTTCTCCATGCTCAAACCTCCCATCGTACACTGTCAGATAGCCATGCTGGCTATCCCTGCCGAAGTACTGCTGAAGGTACATGAAGCTACCAACGGACAGRCCCCCTTCYTGATTGAGAACTTGTCTTTCARTGATTGGGMGRCCCTGGTTGCCGTCATGCAAACMAGACCCCAGGAASTACCTGACAAGATCAAAGAGCTCGYTGCGAATATCCTAGAGGTGTGCAGGAAGTCAGCCATTGAGAACAGAGAAATTGGCCTCATCATCGCCAAGGCCGAAAAGGTCATTCTCGACCTCCACGRCTATGACACCTCACATCTGGACACCGCAKGACRKATCTCCACTAGCGATCCTGGTGACACATTCACCAATACATATATCAGCAGCATCGCTCTCACTCCTGCAAAACTAGAATACTTCCAAAAGAAGGAGGCGATTCGAACGGAGTCTGCCCACATCGACATGTCCACTCCAGCTAGAGGCACGAACCACAAATTCGCAAAGAGCAGCTCGTTCTTACCGCTAGCTTCAAGCACCKGGACGGAGAAGGAGGTACAGCGAGTCCACAACCGCCTATGGAAGCAGGACTCCTTCAACTACACGGCAMCTATCAGTGTCGATGCATACATSGCACTGGCAGGGCTGACCAATGCAGAMATAGACAACTGCCGCACCGCTGCCCGGAATGCGACTATACACTTTCCTACCGGAAGGGCCGGCCTTGATGCAGATTTCCCTCCGATTTCCAATTTGGAGAAGGGGAAATGTACCAAGAAGCCATTGTTGCACCAGAAGGGGATTCCGAAATTCCCAGCAGACCTACAAGAACTGAAGAAGCTGTGGAATGCGGGGAGACCCTTTCTCAAGAGCCCCTGTCTCGGATGCGAGATCAATTTCACATGGCTGGACCACATGATCTGGTATGTCATCGGCAACCTTAACAAGCTGGACCCGCAAGCACCTTCCGACAAGATCAGGATGTTAGAATTCCAAGCACTGCTACGAACTTCTTGGAAGAAGTCGATCATGGCGTAGATCACGTTCATCTTCATGCGGGAATACATGATGAAGATCCTGCACCTCATCACTGAGAACAAAGCCATCACTGCCGAAGAGATCATCAGCTTTGAAGATTTCAAGGATGTGCCGTTTGTTCGAAAGTTCACAGCTGCACTGCTCCCCAACGCGGAAGGACTGCTTGCACAAGCTTCGACAAGAAGAGGAGATGTATTTGATGCTGAAGACAACTCGCTACGCAGATGTCGACAGATGCGACTTGGCACCCCACGTGCTGACTTCCCCATCACTTGCACACCACCCACTCACACCCCACAGCAGATACACACACCAAGAACCGACGCATCAGCAACTAGCACACCAACACAACCCACTGCTTCCCCCACCCCATGCTCCCGAGCACGTACGGAAACCACTGAGATACCGCGTACCTCACCACCACAACGCAGATTGTCCGAACATCGCACCCACGCACCCGACACCCGACCGCACCACGCTGGGCAGCCAGCTTCTGCACCCGCACAACAGAACAACCACAGCATGCCACTAAGGCCGCATGACCCTCCGCAAAACACAAACCCCCGCCACCAACTGATCGCAAACACACACGCTTGTGCACAAGCGCTCCCCCACCTTGCAGTCCCAAACCAGCTCCCTATAACCACACAAACTGCACCGCAACAGCAAAGCAATGCATTCACTTTTGTCGCAGAACAGCTTGCTGCCAGAAACACCCCGCCACTCACCTCGAACACTGGCCCATTGGAACCATCCTTGACCGCGCAAAGAAACACCAATGCTGAAACCGACTGTCCTGCCAGAAGCACGCCCTTGACCTTTACATTCCATAACAATGCCACCACTACCATCCCCATCGTACCTAATGCCGACACTGGCGATGAAAGGATGGCACGACGGAGAGAGCAGCTGCTGAGTATCGCTATGAATCCCCCACCTACGCCTGTTAAAAGGAACCCCCGAAGAGGAAACAAGACTTGCAAAGGACTTCAGCTGCAAAATGGCAAACAGAAGACCAAACAAACCAGACGGAACAAACCACTATATGACCAACGCCAACCTGACAGGCACGATATCCTCTACGCCCAAACACTGCGACTTAATGCCGCAAATGGTCTCCAGACATCCCCTGCACCCCCATTTGCACAACAGCACACTACCACCCCTAATAAACTACCTGTCACCTCCGTAGTATCACGAGAAGCAGCCACAACAGCCATCCCTCCCAGACACACTTGGAGCCTCCACGGAGAAACTCTCTTGCACCAATGGACACACGGAAACACTAACGCAACCATACCAGCACAAGGTGAAGTACATACGAACCTTGAATTCATCCTGGTCAGCAGCAACGAAGACAATGACGGGGACAGGGCTCAACACCCTATCACAATCAGCTCTCCGTCGCCGGACACTCCACTGTGACCCAGTTCTGCAATCGCAGCTCTCAAATACAACTACGGTGCAAGCAGCGCTGACTCCTCGCTTCTTCGAGCCTACAGCGACCTCACGGCACCCGAAACTGAATGTGCATCTTCAGAGGACTCATGGAAGAGAGTCTGTCGCAGACTCAGCCCTGATTATCAGTTTGGCAAGACAAATATCGCTARAAGCTAAAGGCTGACCCCCTCTTCTTTTGCTCCCTGGTACAGACAACTGTACCAATGAGCACACGTTTTTTTCATAGTTTTGATCCACGAGTCAATTGGTGGTTAAGTTTCTGACATACTGGTTTAGGATTAAAAGAGGGAATAGCTTCAGCTTTTGGGCTGTAGCGAGGTATATAGAAGTCTGAGTGCTAGAGCCAGGATAAATTTTTTGTCCCTTAGATTGAACAACTATATATGCCTACTTTCTGAGGAACAAGGCCCCCTTTTTTTGCCATCATGATGTTTTCTCATCTTCCAAAAGAAACACTGTTTTTCCCCCCTCTTTTTTATCTCCAAACCCTGTCGGCTATGCAGTAACAATTGTACAAATGTGACATATGGTTAAACCTCACCCTTTAAATCTCGGATACACTCCCCACGACAAAAAAAAAMCAACCTCACTAAATGCCTGTGAGATTCAATGCTTACCTACCAACCATGTAAGTCCTGTACCCCGATATAAAACAAACCTATACCTTGAAAGCTATACAGGAAAACCTGTCGAAGACTTACGGAATTTAAAACCCATGATAGCACCAGAACCATGTTGAACCCCTGTTGAAAATATAACACTCAACCCCCTGGCTGACCCCCGAACAGTTTACCTCACCCCCCCGGGGGCACACACCACCGACAGTGGCACAAATACTACAGACAAAATATTACAAAAAAATAATAAAAAACCTCAGAGCGAACCCAAAACTACTAGACCTCCACTACATACTTCAAACTCCTTATTCGTCCCTAAAACCTCGCCTCAACTTGATCCGGTTCATGCCTATAGGACCCTTACAGTGAAACTTGTGCCATGGTGGATCCCGGATGTACTTCTAGCCTGTAAATAACAACCACAGACTAAGCATAGAAAAATATCCTGCGCTTGAATCCCATCCGTTATTAAACCCAAAACCCTACACCTTTCGCTTCACTTGGTACAATAAACCCAACCCCAAATAGATACTCTCATAATTCAGATTCTTCTTGAAAGTAGATAAAACCCCCTAAAAAAGTATTGGTGAAATGTTCTGTGTGCAGGTGCATCGGCTATACACCATGGAAGACGGAAGACTCGGATGGAAAGCCAACAAGAAAAATGACAAAATTATAATCCCTTGCCACTACCCAAATCAAATGATGGATAAATTAAGTTTAAAAGAATCTTCGAAAATTCCTAGAGAAACATAATCCCCACGCATTACCCCTTCTAGCCAAATGCACCTTCTCCTGGACGTATAACGACCACATCGTTAAATCCCTATACAAACCCGCCGCCGTTTTCAGAGATTTTGAACTCATGGACTGGCTGAACCAGACTCAAGCCACCTGCTTTTGTCAGCACCAAAGATATGTCAGTTTTACTTGTCCACTGGAACTCACACCCCAAGGTGTTGCCACCCATGTGATCACCCTGGATCTAGACATAATCACAAACAAAGAACTCCGAAAAATGGTTGGTTGTGGACTAAACCATATCCCCCCACAAACTCCCAAACTATCAGATATCCTGTCTGCCGCACAACAAGTTTGGAACAACCTCACAGCAGTTCTGGACAGATATGGAGTCCCACTCTTAGATAACCACATACAAGAAGCTTGCAAAAAATTTACTAACACCGTTCTACACAACACTGCAAACTACAAGCAACACAAGGAAGTCTGTATGCACGACCATGCAATCAAACACGAATGTGACTTTCTTACCAAACACTTCAACATCTCTGGGGCCGACAAAGCCCCGAACACAGCAGTAGTTAGCTGCGTTAACATGGTAAGGCATCTCGGCCTACACAGGCTCTCCAGTGCAGATTTTGAACCATGTTCGATCACGCCAAATGAATTATTAAATAAACTACAAGAAAAACTGAGCAAGATATTTCCAGACATCCCAACCGGAAAAAGGGTACTACCCTACCTATTTGCCATATATAAGAAACACAAAAATTCTTTCTGATGGTAGACCAATGCTTCCGACATCATCTCCTCCCCCTTGGCCGACCTTGCCGCTGTCATTCTCAAAGCACTAATTAAAGAAGTAAAAGCATACTGTGGAAACCTCACACAACAGACACTCGCTGAAACTAACCTGAAGGTACCCTACTGGTGGCCCATTGATTCGACAACCGACTACGTCTATAATATACCTGCCCAGGCAACTGCAATATTTACTGCTGACATAACAAGATGTTACGAAACTATACCTACAGATGATAGCCCTGATGGCTTACCCAATGCAATTCAGTTCTTTACTAGATTGGYCTTTCAACAKGCAAAAAYAATCATTGGACCAAGGGTACAACTWGCATTCAGATTTTACAGCAAAKRTGAGGAGCTTACCCCCACCYGCGATTGGTTTGAGCATCCCYYMAACGGATACCTCTYGCTGACYGATAAGATGGTTAATGCCATCAACTGCTGGCTCATCTCCAACKCCTACACCTCCCTTGGCAACAAAATMTGGAAACAGAMCTTGGGCATCCCCMTGGGRGTCAKTTGYTCTCCGRTTTGATGTAACATTTACTTCTTTAAATACGAATATAAATTCATGAAAAAAATAACCCATAAAGCTAACAAGCACCTCCAGTATTTATTCCAACATGTCTTTCGCTACTTCGATGACTTTCACATTCTCAACAACCCAAGAATAAATGAATTCCTCAACCCAGAAATCACTAGCCCAAGGAGTAAATATTACCTATACCCTCTGCGATTAATCACCCTCAATGAACAAACCTCTGAGAAAATAGAAAACAACGGCAAACTCATCGGGACCAAGGCTAACTTTCTAAACACTACCGTTCAAATCACTAACACACTAACTGGTCAATACAAAACATACAAATATGACAAAAGAAAAGAATTAAACTTTTCCATTACCAGGTTTATCCAAGCACACTGCAACAGACCACTACAGCAATCCCTTAACCTAATTATACCCCAAATCATCACAATCATGATAGTCGAAACATATTCACAACACGCAGCCAGCGAAATTGGTGAAACTATTAACTGTCTGACGCGAAACGGCTCCTCAAAACACAGACTCATAGGGATCGTTAAAAAAATTCTCCTTCATCCAGAAGAATACAAGCCATTCATCTGTTGCCCACAGACAGTGCTCCGATTCCTTCAAAGAAACAGTGATAGGTAAACTGAAAATACGGCAAAAAAAGCAAAACCAATTCAATTTACTCCTTATCAGTAACGCACCACCAATCTTCACTAACAAAATTGGGATCCTCGCCCAACTATAAATCAAAGAACATCCATACAAAATCTACAATCAGGAAAGCTACCAACCACATCACCAAACCACCACAACAACACTAATAATGCGCTGACAACGCTACAAAAAAAGCAATACAAACATACCAAAGATACTATTGGCATGGTGTGATGTATATGTGTGTGTAAGCCAAAAGATATTGTTG